TATGCTCGCTCACTTAATCGGGTCTCGCTCATAAACTGCTCAAGCGCCGCGGCGCATGGGATTCGCATGCGGCAATCGATATCCTGTTTTCACGGCCCTCGACGTGGCAGTTGCTACCCTCGCTCTCTGCTCAGCTTAGAGGTAAAGATCTAAATAACAATATCCCTACTTCGACTGTTGAAAGATCACTAAATCTCTGTGATGACTGGCCGAGATCTTGAACAATGAATTAGTTTTAGCACGCTCATAGCGATAGCGCCTTCTGCCCATACCCAAGACCTTGAACGCTGCAGGTGGTGTGTCACGCTGTGACTTCTTCTTGTGTCTGTGACTATTTGCAACGTGAATTTCATTGCAATAATTATCCTTTCCATTTTCGTTTGCCATGTTTTAACTAGTCTGGTTATATACTGATTTCCTACGTTGTAAATGAATGCCTACTCAAATGAGCTTATTAAGGATGACCCATAAACCTCGGCTACGTTTCTACCCCTTTGCTTACGCACTGTTTACCGAGGAGCTTTGTGATCGCTGTTGGTATTGTCTGGCACCAGTGGAAACAAAAAAGTGAGTCAGCGTTCTTGCTCTAGATGGGGGCCATTTTTTTCATTTTTCAGCAAATGCAAAAACTCGAGCATGCGAGATGTTTGCTGTGAATAACTACGGAATGTTGTGTGTGAATTGATGAATAACATTTGTTGTTTCGAAAAGGGCAGCGGAAACATAAACTTTTAGCGCTCGCTATTTCTGCATTGGTTTGTTGTTATTTTTTTAGAACAACACTTCCCATAAAGTATGACTCATGAAAGAATGTGAGTTTTTCCTAGATGTAGCCATTGTTGCTATATTTCGATCGTCGTCGTGCTTGAGATAGAGATGAGATTTGTTCAAAAGTGCTGAATGTGCGGAGTTCTTCTCTGAGTGGGTGTAGAAACAAGCAACCAATCACAGACGCGGTTCACACACACTGTTTTTTCTGCAAAAGGTCCGCCTCTGACACTGATCCCATTTTTCTAGGCTGGGTACGGCTACTTTTCGCGGCTGAGCTTGTGTGGGAGGATAAAAACATTTTGGTGAGGATTAATTCCTTTGAAAACACAATACCCATCGAAAAAATGTGTCGAATTCAAGTAAAAGTTGAGTCCAGTCCACAGTTTTATTGGTCGAAAGCGAGCGCGGATATTTGCACTTTCGTGTTCGAGTTTCACTAAAAACCAGAAGTTGTCGGGAGGAATTCGTTTGTAATTTTTAAGATTACTTGACCCTCTGCCAATGCTTTCACTGCAGCCCTTGTTTACAATTTTTTTTTCAGTCGTCCTTGTGTTTGCACCACCTTTTACTTTTTTTACTAGTAATTTATATCTGTTAAACGGCTTCGGCCTGCTCTTTTTCTAGCACATGAGCACCCTAACACAATTTTCTCTCTTCAAAACCTTAGTAACACCTTCACATCTGAATGAAAATGCTCATTCCTACAGTGGTGAATACGGGAATCGGTTTGGGACGCTTCTTACAATTAGACTAGGTGGCAGTAGCCCTACAGAGAACTGCACAGCCAGCCCATCGAATACGGTTCCCTTTGGGGGCTATCGGTCTTGAAGACAGCTGGGTTGTTGCTCTCTTTGATCAGGACTGGCTTGTACCTAGTTTCTAGTTCTAGAACGGTTGCGCCGGTTTTAATGACATTCCTGCTCTGGAGCCCTTAAGAAGTTTTGTTTATGTAAATAACATGATTACCACTTCAGTCAGTATTTTTTCTTAAATTGTGAGGTTAGAAGAGAATCTATGTGCCTGCAAATTTCACCTTAACATATAATATCAAGTAGTGATAATAAATTACATCCACTAGTTAGAGTCCATTTGCAGAATCGCAATGACTTGCTGGATCTCATCGAGATTTAAATAAATTGGTGTGTTATTTTTCGTGTGCAGTGGTTTGTTTTCTGTTTTCTTTGGATTGTTGTGACACCTTGCACAAACTGAACCTAATGGCACTGCTAGCTTTACTATCAGATGCAAATCTCTTTAGTTGCTTCTAATAGTAGATTGAATTTGTTGTAGTTTTCATTGTGAAAAGGGCTTCAAATGGTCTCAATTTTAAGGAGATGCCTCGGATGTGGATTCGCTTTATTTTGTAACAAAGATTGTCAGTCGTTGGGATGGAAGGATCATAAGGTGCGTTTTGAACCTTTCTTACCATGTCATTTTTACAAACTCACTTGTAGGTACTGGTTCAATAAGATGGTAATATTGAACGGAGCAGTTTGAATTATGTTTTTTACGAAGTTTATATTGACTTGTGAATTTTCGAAACTTCCTATTTTAAGGCGGAATGCAAAGGATTACGCAAAGCGCAGGTGATTCCAGATATCGAAACAAGAATGCTTGGCAGAATAGTATTAAGACATAAGGTTCGGTGTTTCATTTTAAAATCATCAGCATTATCACAGTACCAAATAGTAAGACTTCAATTGCATGTCCCTAAATTGTTGTGCTGGCTCCACCCACCCGAGCGGAATCTCCTCCCACCGCTTCGGGGCTATATCACCTTTTTATCACCTGAGTCCTTTTACATATAGTCTTTGTTGGCAGAATGCTTCGCAAAATTTTTACCTCGGCACAACCCATTTTTAACATTTTTGGCCATGCAGGACTAGAGTTTGGAGTTTGAGTTCCATATCCAAAAGTGTGTTAAATACTGTAATAATATCTAATGTCTTGATGTCAGACTCTAATTGTAAGTATCGTCTTCTAAAAATGTACGGTGACGTTGACTGAAGAGTCATTATTCCCATTCAGGAAATATGTGCTGGAAAGGATAAGAAAACAGAAGGTTTCTATAAGGATCGTACATCCGAGAGAAGCATACTTGAAATCTGGGCTCACACGGACAAGATTCGGAAGGATTCGTACGCAATGAAGAAGTTTGAAGGTTAGTAACTTCCATTTATACAGGAAGTGTAGCAGACAAACCTCGGGATGTAGTAAATCTCCGAATGGAACGAATGTTTTCCAGAGATTTACGAAAGCCTAACAAAATTCTACGAAGAGAAGTTTATGATGTCTAAAGATGTTGTATTCGAATTGCACTGTCGAGACTATATCAACAGGCATGCGATCAGTGACAAGGGATATGTGAAGGTAGGTATACTAGTATACTTGAAATTGCTTTCTAATTCACTAGCATTAATTATTTCCATATTGATTTGAATCATTTGTTGACAACTTGTGAATTATTTGCTATGAATTTTCGAACTAACAATTTTCTATTCTTTCCCTATGTTGGTCACCTCTCGTTCCGTTGGTCCTTGATTTTCTCGAGCGGGCTCCAGTAAAGTCCCTGTTGCGAGCCGGGTGGATCTACCTGCTTGAGGGGCATGGGGCACAGCATTCCTTTCGTTCAGAGCTTTTAGAGTCAGACCATCGCACTGGCAGACCAGGTGTGTGTTTGACGCCACATGTTGGTGATTCATACAAATCCCAATTGTTGACAAGATGGCTGGAGCTACGCTTTTTATTTTAAGTTTTTTTTTTCTCGCTATGTATTAATTTGGATTGAATATTCTACAGCAAGATTTTGTTCTATTTAAAATCTTTTTATATAAACCGTAGTCTCAGTACATGGCAACAATCGATCCCGGAGTGCGGCCGCTCTTCAGTTTTCTTCAGGGCTCTTCGTAGGAATACTACTACGGACTACTCGGGTTAGGTGCCAGTTCGATGCCGTCAGCTGTTGGCACCCGCACTTTGTAAAGAATGCCCCTAATACGACATACTCCTCTTTATCGCCAATCCTTTTCAGTACGTATGTCGCGAAACGGATCCGTCAGAACATTTTTTATGCTGGAGGGTGGAATGGCTACCTCAGCCAGTTGTTGCTGTTCAGCTTTTTGCCTTTTCTGAAGGCCTGATAACATCTGGTCACCTGTTTTTTGGAGGGGAGAGGGAGGGGGTAGGGATGGGGATGTAGGGGCTGTAGTTCATAATTGTGACGAAAGATTTGATGCTTATCTTAGTCAGATGAGATAGGTTTTTTTGACTCGTTGAAAAAGTCCAATCTGGAAATGGAGTTCAGCAGGAA